CCCACAGAGAACTCTGAAACATCTTATACTCACCCTGTAGAATAATAACTTCTGATTAGCATTTGTGTTGCATAAAGAGCTTTAAATTTGGTTTTCCTTTCTCCCCTGTTCCTTCATTGGTTTACTTAGAGGAAATGACATTTTTCTTAGTGCTTCTAATATTGTTTTTAATCCAAAATTACCTCAAATATACTTTGTAACTATAGCATAATAAAAAGTAACATTCCAGGCCGGACACGGTGGCTCACGCCTATAATCCCAGCACTTCAGGAGGCCGAGGCAGGCAGATCACGAGGTCAGGAGATAGAGACCATCCCGGCTAACACAGTGAAACCCTATCTCTACTTAAAATACCAAAAATTAGCTGGGTATGGTGGCACGTACCTGTAGTCCCAGCTACTCGGGAGGCTGAGGCAGGAGAATCTCTTGAACCCGGGAGGCGAAGGTTGCAGTGAGCTGAGATCATGCCACTGCACTCCAGCCTGGGCAACAGAGTGAGATTCCTTCTCAAAAAAAAAAAAAAAAGAAAGAAAGAAAAAAGCAACATTCCTTGCCCTTCCTTAATATTTTTATTTACATTTGATAAAGTATTACCTCTGTTTCCCTCTTACTACCCCTCACTTCCCAATCCTAACCTCCAATTCTTCATCTATTTTTCTAAATCTAGTTCTAAAACCAGTTTCCAAGCAACCTCCTCCCATTAAAGTTGTGGAAAACATCCTCCATGGCTCTTTAGATAAAAGTGTATTTCAGGAAAATTCATATTTTAAGTTGGCATGTGTCAGAATGACTTTCAGTTGCCATCACATATTAATCGGAAATTAACTACTTCATTTTTATATCAAACCATTTTTTAAAATCTGTTAGAATAACTCTATTGCACTGGCTTTTGCAATTAGAAAGTCTAAAGTTATCCATACTTTGGCACTGCTGAAAATAATCTGTTAGCTCTATCTTCTATCTTTTCTTCTCTTATAGGCTTTTCATTTATTGGTTACTTTTACATTGCATATAAACTGTTTGAATTTATTTTTTATTTCATTAATCCAAATTTATTAACCACTTAAAATGCTATAGACTATTAATATAGGCCAGGCACGGTGGCTCATGCCTATAATCCCAGCACTTTGGGAGGCTAAGGAAGGAGGATTGCTTGAGCCCAGGAGTTCAAGGCTGCAGTGAGCCATGATCATGCCACTGCACTCCTGTCTGAGAGATACAGCAAGACCCCATCTCTAAGGGAAAAAAAAAAAAAAAAGAATATAATATAAATGCTCCAAAACATTTATTCCATTTTATTGTTTCTTAGCACTCATAATTTTAATGTTTTACTTATCCAAGTAATGCATAACATATGCTCATTATGAAATCTGAAGTAACAAGGTTTATTTAGAGCTTACAATGGAAGTCTCAATTCATCATAACCCTAACCCATAATTCCAGGCCAATTCCATAGTCATGTATGATCTTACAGAATTTCTTCACTGAATTTACATATCTAACTTTAAGACATGTACGTTTTAATTTTACATCAATGGGATCATAATATACAAAGTGTTCTACAAAGTGCTTTATTCCCCTCACCAATATGTCTTAGAAATCTGCATTTGTTGGCACCTGCAGATTTATGTCACTCTTTTTAATAAGTATATAGTATTCCACAGTATATATTTAGTGTAATTTATTTAATCATTCTTTTTATTTACAAATTTTTTCAATATTACAAATAATCCTCCCCAAACATGTGTGAACATGCATCTTTTTGCACGTGTAAATATTTCTATAGGATAGGTTCCAAGAATAAAATTTTGGGACTAAAGACTGTATGAATTAGATTTTTTAAAAATAGAACATATGTATTCTATATATGAATATGTATATATGCAGTATACATATTTATATGTGGATGTGTGTCTGTATATGTATGCACATAAGATTTTAAAAAATAAAATGGTAAAGATCATCTTCAAATAAAAAGTAACAGGTCCTTGCCCCATCCCACTCCTGTACTGGTAGCAACTCTTTTTAAACATTTCTGTGCTCCTTTCTCTGGTGATCACTTCCCTACCTCTATAGAGTATGCTGTATAGCTCTTTCTTAATTTACCAAAGCTAGACATTCCTTATAGGCCGTCTACTAGGACAAATAGGGATTTAGTTCATTTACACTTCCTGGCTCCTCTCTCTCACTCCTGTCACCATATTAATAGTTACTCCACTCTTTTCAGTTCCTCCAAGCAGTCAACCCTGTAATGAGAAATATACTAAAGTCTCCGTGTTTTGTTTTGTTATATGGGCAGTTGCTTAAAACCACACTTCATGATAACACCTCAGTGCTCTCAACCTTCCCCTCCCAGCGCCTCCCATCCATTTCTTCCACTTCCATACCTACACCTCTTCGACCTTTACTGTTACAATAGGAAGGCTGGTAATATTGTTTGGCTGTGACCTCCACCCAAATCTTATCTCCAACTGTAATAATTCCCACGTGTCAAGGGCGGGGCCAGGTGGAGATAATTAACTCATGGGGGCAGTTTCCCCCATACTGTTCTCATAGTAGCAAGTAAGTCTCGCGAGATCCAATGGTTTTATAAGTGGGAGTTTCCCTGCACAAGCTCTCTTGCCTGCTACCATACAAGAGGTGCCTTTGCTTCTCTTTTGCCTTCTGCCATGATTGTGAGGTGTCCTTAGCCTCACAATGTGGAACTGTGAGTCCATTAAACCTCTTTCCTTTATAAATTACCCAGTCTCAAGTATGTCTTTATTAGCAGCCTGAGAATGAACTAATACAGTTGGTAACATACATGTCCTGTTCTATAATCCTAAGCTAGTTTTTAAAGTTGAAAACAATAAATGTTATATAATTATCATATCTATGTACATATTGTTCAATGATGAGTATTTTATCTGCTAAGACTCTATCTCTTTTACTGGTCCAGTGTCATAACACCTGTGCTGCTTGAAAAACTGTACCTCTAAAATCCAGTTCCAGGATTTTCTACGTTTTTCCGTTTTCTAAATTTGCAATCATAGTCAGCATGGTAAATTGTTTTACACTAACCCATTTGATGGTCTTCTCTGTGATGTCCCTTCCAGGCAAAGGATTACACCAGGGAGGCCATGTTTGCTTTGGCCAATGAAATGTGAGTAAACTTACTTCTAAGTATATTTTAGAAGCCAGCAAATGCTCAAAACATTTCCTTTTCCATTTCCCATAGCAATGTTCCAGATAGTTCATTCTAAAAACTGGACTCAAGAGGACATGACATGGGTCAGAGCTGCAGTCAATCCTCAAAGGACATGTGACATAAGTGTGAAATAAGCCTTTTTTGTTCTAAGCCATTGAGGTTTAGGATCATGTTTACCAAAGCAAAACCAAGCTAAAACTTCATAGTCATCTTAAGTATTCTGGGAATCAAAAGAAATATATTTTTAAAAGAAGAAAATAAAACTTTGTATTACTAAGAGGCAGAGCACTGAGGACAAAATCTCAACTCCTTACACATCCTGGTCCTAGCCTCCCTCTTCCCCTTCATCTCCCACAGCAGGAACCTTTCTCCCCATACTCTGGCTAATGGGGTCCTCATCATCATTTGCCTTCCTTGAACACTTCCAGCATGCTCTCTTCTCAGGATCTCTGAACCTGCTATTCCCTCAGACTAGAATACTATTCCTCCAGAGCTCATGGCTGGCTCCTTCCTAGTTTTTAGGACTTAGCGCAAATGTCAGGGTTTCCCTGACCAGTTATTCAAGGCTGGTAGTCTCCTTCCCACCTTCCACCTGGCACAGGCTATAAAGATACCATCTTTTCTTCATCATAAGTCACTCTTCAGGCTGGGCATGGTGGCTCACACCTATAATCCCAGCATTTTGGGAGACTGAGGTGGGCAGATCAGGTGTTCACGACCAGTCTGGCCAACCTGGTGAAACCCCATCTCTACTAAAACTACAAAAATTAGCAGGGTGTGGTGGCATGCACCTGTAAACCCAGGTACTCAGGAGGCCTTGGCAGGAGAATCACCTGAACCCGGGAGGTGGAGGTTGCAGTGAGCCGAGATGGCACCACCACACTCCAGCCTGGGTGAGGAGTGAGACTCCGTCTCAATAATAATAACAACTCATTCTTCAAAATTATTTCATTTTTAAATTTATGGACTGATTGCTTACCGAAATGCAAGCTCCATGAGAGAGGAGGCATGTTCTCCCCTGTATCAGGGACAGTACTTGGCACATAGTAAGTACTCAACCCTATTTCTCAAATAAATGGATGTTTAACTAGTTCTCTGACAGGATAGAAGAAGTCAAGAATTACTGATATTGTTAGGATAGTGGTCCCCACCGAAATCTCATGTTGACTTGTAATCTCCAGTGTTGGAGGTGGGGCCTGGTGGGAGGTGTTTGGATCAGTTCAGGAGCAATCTGGTCATTTACAAGTATATACCACCTCCTCGTTTCTCTCTCTCTCTCTCTCTCTCTCTCTCTCTCTCTCTCTCTCTCTCTCTCTGTCTCTCTCCCCCTCTCTCTCTCTCTTTCCCTCTCTCTGTCTCTGGCTTGCTCACTGGCTCCTGCTTTTGCCATGTAAGGTGCCTGCTTCCACTTCCTTCTGCCACAATTGGGAGCTTCCTGAGGCCTCCCCAGAAACAGATGCCACTATGCTTTCTGTACAACCTGCAGAACTGTAAGCCAGTTAAACAATTATTTCTTTTCTTATGAATTACCAGTCTCAGGTATATCTTTATAGCAATGCAAGAACAACTTAACACAATTACTATTGATGTTTTAATCAAACATTCAGATAAAACAAACTGTCAGAATAAACTTCAGTGGAGTGTTAAAATTCTGTTTATAGATTTTATTGAAACAAATATTTTAAATATATTGGTAATAGCAGCTCTTAGCAATATTTTTATTATGCAGATATTTTTGTGATAAAGCTTTTTAAAAGAGAAGTTATATATTTATTTTAAAAATTTAATGGCAGCATCAAAATGAAAGACCTACCTGTTGTTCATAACGCTGTCTGATGTCCTCTAGTTGCCATAAAAACTCCTTTGACTGTTTCTCACGAAGAGATTTGGATCTAGTTAGATCTGCTTCCACTTTTTCCATCTATACAATTTAAAAATAAAATTTTAATTTTTTAAACAAAAAATTTTGTTCCATGTTTTTGTAATTTTTCCATTTGTTTAAATGACAGATTTTAAACACTATACCAATAATAATGATGAATTTAAAGGTATTAAAATAATTAGACATTTACCCATTTATTTTCATATATTTTAATTATTTAAGGAGGGAAATTAAAATTGGTATATAGTTGACAAAATTCTAATATTACAACAATATTGTAGTGAAAATGTAATTTAGGACATTCTAATATTTATTTAACAAAATTTAATTAAGCCCTTTGTATGTGCTGAATGAGATAAAATATTTCCAGATCATATCTCTGATAAGAGACTTATATTTTGAATATATAAAGAACTTGTATAGCCCAATAATAAATGGATAATTAAACTCAATTTTAAAATGGACAAAGAGCCTGAATAGATATTTCTCTAAAAAGATGCAGAAAAGGTCAAAAAGCATATGAAAAGATGCTCAACACCACTATCTTTAAGCAACTACAAATTAAAACAAAAATGACATATCACTTCATGCCCCAAAGGATGGCAATAACAAAAAAAGACAAATAGTAACACGTATTGGTAAAGATGTAGAGAAATCAGAACCTTCAACACTGCTGGTGGGAATACAAAATGGCCTAGACATGCTGGAAGACAGTCTGTCTAACAATTCCTCAAAAGGTTAAGCAGAGAGTTACCATGTGTTCCAGCAGTTCCACTTCTAGGTAAGAAATGAGAATATATATCCACAGAAAATTTTGTGGATATTTGTCTACAGAAATTTGTCTACAAATGTTCATAGTAGCATTATTCATAATATCCGAAAAGAGGAAATGACCTGAATATCCATCAGTTGATAAATGAATAAACAGAATGTGGTATATTTATACAGTATAATATTATTCAACAATAGAAAGGAAAGAAGTATTAATACATGTACTTTGGGAGGCTGAGGCAGGAGGATCCCTTGAGCCCAGGAGTCTGAGACCAGTGTAGTCAACATGTAAGATTGTGTCTCTACAAAAAAGAAAAAAATTAGCCAGGCATGGTGGCATGGGCCTATAGCCCCAGCTATTCGAGAGGCTAAGGCAGCAGGATCACTTAAGCCCCAGGGGTTGCAGCTGCAGTGAGCCATGACAGCACCACTGCATTCCAGCCTGGGAAAAAGAGTGAGATCCTATTTCAAAAAATAGTAAATTAAAAATAAAATTAAAAAAACTAATACATGTTATAACACGGATGAGCCTTGACAGCATTAAGCTAAGTGTCACAACAGACCACATACTGTAGGATTCCATTTACATTAAATTTCCAGAATAGGCAAATCCATAGCAACAGAAAACAGATTAGTGGTTGCCTAGGGAGGGATGGGGATCTGAGAGGGTAACTGCTAAAGGGTATGGTGTTTCTCTTGGGGAAGATGAACATTTTCTAAAATTGATTGTGATGATGGTTGTATAACATCCTGAACACATTTTTTAAAAACCACTGAATTGTACACATATGAGTGAATTGTTGGTATGTGAATTTTATCTCAACAAAGCTGTTATTAAAAAAGAAAAGAGAAAAAGGAAAAGCCAAAGACTCCACCACACCCATGACGCCTCACATAATCTAATCCCAGTGACCTCTTGGAGTTCATCTCTACTGCTCTATCCCACCACCAGCTGCACAGACCACCTACCTGCTGCCCAAGCCTATAATATGTCAGAAGTGCTCTCACCTTGGGGTCTGGAGGTTCTACCTGATACTCACACAGCTTCTTTCTCAAAGTCTTGAGGCTTTGTTTAGCATCACCTTTGTACTGAGACCTCCCAGACCAATTTTGAATTTTACATTGCAATTCCCCAGCCCCTAAGTCCACCTAGTTCCTCATTTCCTTGCTTTGCTACCCTTTTGTTCCACAGGATACATCACCTGCAGATTCACTATGTAATCTACATCTTCATTAGGGCTGTTTGTAATGTCTGTCTCCCGCAGCGTAACATCACCCCATGTTCATCAGTGATTCAACAGTGAAACAGTATCAACCATTTATCACAGTGCCTGGCACATACAGAGAATCAATAAGCACTAATCAAATGAAAAAAAAAAAAAGATTACACAGTGTACCCAACTTGATTCAAGACTTGCTGAATTTACAATTTTCAACATGTAGTTCCAAATGCTTTAAAACATGCAAAAAATAAGTAAAAGCATGTTGGATCTAACTTATTCTATCACTTAGTCCATGTTATGATCAGATGCTCTTTTATATGCAATAAGAAAGAGATGTTCTTACAGTCATGAAAAAGCTCTCCATATCAACGTGAAAATGGTGTGTTTTATGGAAAGCAGTGCAGTATTTTATTTGTCTTTAAACCCCTGCACATTTGGATATAACTTTAGAAAATATTTTTTTCTGAGGTAATTATCAGTCAACGTGGCAACCATTCTATCACTGGCTACTTTAGATTACTTATTATTCTGCTTCACTGGTATGTGGAACTACTTCTACTTTGTTCAATTCATGCACAATGCCTTCTTTCAGGTTACCTTTTGGTAAGCACTAAGATTAGTTAAGACACGAATACTGGAGGAAATGAACTATGAAAAATGCTTCTTTCACAGTTTTTCACAATATATTTGAAAAAAACATTTCAATGCATTTATTCAGACATGATTAGACTTTAAGGTTCTAGGAACAAAGATACGCAGTGAAAGACAACCAGTTTCACTGCATGAGAACAAAACACGTATTACCACCCACCACTGTGTCTAACACCACGTTCCAGTTTCTGGATCTTAACACTGAAGTTTGAATGCCCTCTAGATTATGGCATGACATTTAGCACCTAAGTATTTCTTTGTAAATCCCAAGTACTGCAATCCCAAAAATATTAAGTCATCAGCGTAAAATTCAATTAGAGTTCTAACATTACTGAGTCACAAGTAATCAGTATTGTGGTCAAGAAAAAACTTAAGGAATTATTAAAGGAAGGACAGTCAAGCAAATTCTGTTTTTTTGTTTCTAACTCAAGACTTTGGTTTCAAGGCTGTCTCTCTCCTTCAATGCTTTTCACATTGGACCTCAAGTGGAAGGCTTCTTAATTGGTCCTCAGCAATCCAGGCTTCAAAATCCTCGACATTTTCCAAGCAAGCCATGACTGTTATTGACTCTAAGGCCTTTTGCCCATCACACTACCTGGTAGGCCCTTTCATTTTTTTTTTTTTTTTTTTCCTTCCAGTCAGTCTTTTCAAGGTTGACTCAAGTTTCCATTCCTCCCTAAGATGTTCTTTAATCCCACTAACTGAATAAATGCCTTCCTTCTCTCTATGCTCTAGGACTTAACATCTTTATTCTCCTAATACATTGTGTATTTCTCTATAAAATGGAAGTATTTCAAATGTGTAAGCTTTGTTTAGTAATCCAGATCATAAGCCCACAAATAAAACAACTATGACAAACAAGCCTTTCTTATGTATATCACTAGCTGCGATGGTATGCAAAATAAAGATAAGCTGAATTCTTAAGGATGATGAGGAGGGACAGCAAGGTGGTGGAATAAAAGTTCCTCAGCTCCAGTCTATTTCATAGAAATCCAACTAGCAACCATTCACAGACAAGAATACCTTTGTGAATATTCCAGAACTTGGGAATGAGGCGGAGACATGCTCTTGGATCACAGAACTGACAAAAGTCACATTAGAAAAATAATAGAAATGGTTTCACGTTGACTGTACCATCCCTCCCACAAACCACCAAGTGCCACACAGAGAGGATGCCCCTGGGGCCATGGTTTCTATAGTGGGAAAGAGAACTAGGGCTGTATATGCAGCTTTCCCAGCATTTCAAGATGCTTGGCAGGAGGCCCACTTCTGCATCACCTTAAAAGGAACACTAAGAGTATCAGCAGGTCTAGGACATCTGAGATCAGCTAGAAACAAAGAAGGGAAAATGGGGTTCACAGCAACCTCTGCATTCTGGTCAGTGGAGACACCCAACCGGAGAGACCAATAAATAGTATCACTGAGCAGGAAGCATGGCTAACAGATTTGCCAAGCTCAAGTCCCTAACCAGATTTGCCACCAAGCCTCAAAGGTTGGCATACTTCCCCAGGCTGAGAGCCAAGCCCAAATCCCAGCATATCTGCGGAGCAGAGCATGTGGTCCAATCCAATCTTAGCAGTCATTTCTCCTGTCCAGCATTGGAGCCCAGTCTGAGGCACAGGCAGGGAGGCAAGCCTAGAACTACACATAACTGTGGGCATCACATCTGGCTTTGCCCATCTGAGTGGCTGGCTGAGAAGCAACCCCAGAGACCTTGCCAGCATTGAAGTCTGGCCCTCAGCCCCATCTTACTACAGATTTCAGGCATGAGTACCACTATGCTAGGAAATCCAGCCTGCAACCTTGCCTAATCAGAGGTTATCACAGAGCCCAGCCAGCAGTTGTGTTTGATTGTGCAGCCTAGCCAATGGTCTCACTGAACTTTGAAGCACAACCAGGAGCCACATCTGACTTCATTGAACAGGCAGCAGCCCGTCCTAACTAAAGAACCCAAAAGCAAGATCTGCTTGCTCATGGTCACTATCAGCTAGTCCACCCAGAATCCTAGGCTACACTAAATATTGAAAGTGTCCATCCCCGCCAAAGGACATCTGCAAAGGCCAAAAGAGGTAGCCATTCATCAAATGCACAGACACCAAGGCAAGGACACAAAGATTACAAAATATCAAGGAAATATGACACCACAAAAAGAAACTAACACAGCTCCTGCAAGGAACCCTAAAAATATGAAGGTCTATAAAATGACTGACAAAGAATTCAGAATAATCCTTCTAAGAAGATCATGAATGTATTAGTTTGTTCTTGTACTGCTAGAAAGAAATACCTCAGAGTGGATAGTTTATAAAGGAAATGAGGTTTAATTGGCTCACAGTGCCACAGGCTGTACAGGAAGCATGACACTACCATCTGCTCAGCCTCTATGGAGGCCTCAGG